TAAGGGAGAGGGTGGGAAGGAAGTAGAAAGAAGATTCATGCAAGAGGTTGCAGGGAGTGAGGAATGAAAATAACACAAAACTCCTTTTTCAAAAGGGAGAAATATTAAAAAGTAGTGTACTCTGAAAGTAAATGACTAGAAAATGTCACTGGGAAAGATTTCACAGAATCAGAAATATGGCTTCCCTTTTTCCCTACTTAAAACTTATTTGAATCCCTATGTCTTCCCAGGTGGTGAAAAGTAGACTGTTGATGCTTAAATACAGACAAACAAAAACAAAAACAAAAACAAAAACAAAAACAAAAACAAAAACCAACTAAGGTAAATGTCAATGAACAGCCCAAGCTATCAGAGTAAAGGACTTAATGCTTCTTTGAAAGTTCTCAAGCTAAACTGTGTCACTTTCCTCTAGAACACTTTGAAATTGGGTCTTTACTGTGCTTGTACTTCTCCCGTACCTTTCTCGTGTGTGTGTGTGTGTGTGTGTGTGTGTGTGTGTGTACTGTAACAAAAGGGAGGAATATCTTTTGGCAGACCTACATAAACATTTCTTTACCTACTATCTCGTATCTATATTATTTCTCCCATACATTTCTCCCCAGAATGTGTGTGTAATGTAACAAAAAGGAAGAGTACCTTTTTGCAGCCCTACATAAACATTTCTTTACCTACTATCTCATATTTATATTATTTCTCCCATACATTTCTTGTGTGTGTGTGCGCACGCATGCGTGTGCATGTATAACGTAAAAAGGAAGAGTACCTTTTTGCAGCCCTACATAAACATTTCTTTACCTACTATCTCATATCTATATTACATGAAGAAAAGCCTGAGAGAATGTGTGTGTGTGTGTGTGTGTCTGTGTCTGTGTGTCTGTGTAATGTGACAAAAAGGAGGAATATCTTTTTGCAGCCCTACACAAAAATTTCTTTATCTACTATCTCATATCTATTTAACAGAAAGAAAAGCCTGAAAATAAGCATCAAGTTCTTGCATCATGATAAAGTTGCTTCCAAGCTTACAAAAAAAAAAGGTTTTTTTTTTTTGAGACAGTCTTATTCTTGTCGCCCAGGCTGGAGTGCAGTGGCGTGATCTTGGCTCACTGCAACCTCCTGCTCTCAGCTTCAATCGATTCTCCTGCCTCAGCCTCCCAAGTAGCTGGGATTACAGGCGCCCGCCACCACGCCTGACTAATTTTTGTACTTTTAGCAAAGACTGGGTTTCGTCATGTTGGCCAGGCTTGTCTTGAACTCCTGACCTCGGGTGATCCTCCTGCCTTGGCCTCCCAAAGTGCTGGGATTACAGGAGTGAGCCACCGTGCTCGGCCGCTTTTAAATTTGAAGAAGTGACATGCTATACATCAAAACATAAAAGAGAACATTCTGGAAAAAAACAAATCTAAGAAATAACACTGAAAATAAAATGTTTTTGGGTACAGGTCTCAAAATACTGCATTTAAGATATTCACAGATTTAAGTGACAAGACTCTCTTCAAGGGGTAGTGGCTAGAATACAGATTTTGCATTGTATTTAAAGAGAACATTCCAAAGGATGGAAGACAAAAATCCAACAAGTAATTTACACATTACGTGTGTGTGTGTGTGTGTGTGTGTGTGAGAGAGAGAGAGAGAGAGAGAGAGAGACAGAGTTTCGCTTTTGTTGCCCAGGCTGCAGTGCAGTGGTGTGATCTCAGCTCACTGCAACCTCCCCGCCGCTCTCAAGGTTTAATCAATTCTCCTGCCTCAGCCTCCCAAGTAGATGGGATTACAGGCGCCCGCCACCACGCCCGGCTAATTTTTTTTAATTTTTAGCAAAGTTGGGGTTTCATCATGTTGGCCAGGCTGGTCTCAAGCTCCTGACCTCAGGTGATCCACCCACCTTGGCCTCCCAAAGTGCTGGGATTACAGGCGTGAGCCACCACACCCGGCTCACATTACTTCTTTGTAGTCAGTCACTTTGATACACATCCTACTCTGACAAAAAAAAAAATCTTAAAGTTCACAAATTGAAATATTTTTGGATGCCTTAAGAGTGGCATTTAAAAGGTCTTTAGCAACTTTAATTTCTTCATAAAAATTAAAGCTCTTTGTTTTCATTTTTCCAAATCAAAATGACTGCCAAGTACTACTCTAATAAAGAGTTTTTCTCAACAACTGTAACTATCTTTGGTAAATTTGCTAAGCATTTCTCATGGTGACAATCATTGATTATAACTCTGATCACAGTTTCCTAACCTGGAATGTTGCAAAAAAAATGCACACTGAAAATATTACTCACTGTTCGATCCTCCAAGTACATTGTTTTTGATAAAAAGTCGATGCCAATTGTTGCCTGTAAAACAAAACAAAGACGTTAACAAATAATAGTAGTTTAATGTGACCAGTAGTTTAAGATTCAAATGGGATCCATGATTGTGGAAGAAATAATGAACAAACCAATACAACATAGCCAATTAAGGACAAACAAAATTTGAAGTGATAATGGTTTCCATGTATTCAGCACTTGCTTCATATTGGAGATTGTGTTCTAAGCCTTTTGTTTTGTTTTTGTTTTTTTTTGAGATGGAGTTTTGCTTTTGTTGCCCAGGCTGGAGTGCAGTAGCTCGATCTCGGCTCACGGCAATCACCGCCTCCTAGGATCAAGCGGTTCTCTGACCAAGTAGCTGGGATTACAGGCATGCAACACCACATCCAGCTAATTTTTTGTATTTTTAGTACAGATGAGGTTTCTCCATGTTGGTCAGGCTGGTCTTGAACACCCAACATTAGGTGTTCCACCCACCTCAGCCTCCCAAAGTGCTGCCATGAGCCATTGCGCCCAGCTGTTTTAAGCCTTTTACATGATCATCTCTAATCTTTATACATTCCTGCCAGGTAGTTTTTTCTCATCCCTATTTTTCTCATTTTACAAATAGTAAGACAATGACAACTTTAGTTTAAATATTTGTATTTGAACTCTAGTTTGAATATCTGATTGCTCCCCACTCAGAATGGCGCAAAACCCCAACAGCAGCTCTATAAAATATTGCTGATATAAACAACTATTCTGCCTGACCTCCTACATAGTGGTTTGTCAACTGTCCTGATGCCAGACAGCCAGAGACTCACAAACATTATAACCTTCCATAAAAGACATGATTTTTCCAATATAAAATATAAGTCACTAGGTAAGGAAAATAAGTTTTCCTCTCTACCACACAATGATAGCTTCCTTCTGTGGTGAAAACACATGTAAAGTTCTGTGCCTAGCTGCTGTTTTCCCTATGAAAAGAAAATGGTGAAATAATAAGAGAAGATAAAGAAGGCAGACTAGAAAAGAGAAGGGAAAAAAAGAATCCAAAATTAATTAGGGGAGATAAAGAAAAAGAATGGAAGAAAGAAAAATGATTCAAGAAAGAGGAAGTTGATATGGACTCTATTTTAGAAGTTTAATCATCTCATTAATAAATGTTTGTGTGCAAATATGCTATGTATATATGTGTGTGTGTGTACATACATATTTTTCCCCTAACTACCTCTGTGCCCCATTCCTTAAAACAGAAACTAGTTGAGACTGTGCATTTAAAATATGAGTTATTAA